TCAGCATTAATACTCGAGAGCAGACTTGCACTCTTCAATAACTGGGACGTTAAGCATCCACCCCCCTCACCATAATTATCCATCCCCTCCCACTTAAATTGCTTTGATCGGTCAATAAAAAGAAACGCATCGAACAATTTCTGAATGAATGATTGCACAGTAAACTAATTTGCCGGACTATTTGCTAATCTTGATCCAGTTCCCACGAAGAGGACTCCGAAGTTGATAAACGGACTGATGCATGAACTCTTGCGTGAGTGCTCAGTCGTAAAGCATGAAGTCTTGATTTAGCAGAGTAAGGAAGAGAGAAGTAACAAGATTGTGTATGGTATGAAACGAGCTGTATTCTACAAGACATCTTAGTAGTTTTAAGTATATAATCGACCGTTTCCTTTAGCTTTTAAACAAGCATATCAAGAACATTTCCTTTTAAATTTAAACGTGTCTGTCATTGATGCAGTAGAAGCTTCAAAAATAATTAAACACCCAATACTTTGATATTTTCAATTGCTACTTTATCTGCACTGACAGCTGCGTGGCGTTTACGAGCAATATACCCGGTGAGTGTCTGATGTACCTGCTGTTAGTAGATAAGTATTCGTTTTTATTCCCTGTCTGACCAATCAGGGATTACAACGTTCGTTGCTTGTCTTTTGATTAATCAATCAAAGGATCGTAAGTGTGAGAGGTTGAATAGTTATTGCGAGAAGGGGTGGATGCTTAACGCCTTCCTTAATCGACACGGAATACTACTTTCACCGGACCCCTACGCTAGGGTTAACTGCACTATCATGATAATCGTAATACGCCGAAACCTCGAAGTGTGACACATCAGTAAGTAATCTAAGTATGACAAACTCAGTACTTACGAATTTATATCTAAAATCATGGCCAATGAGGAACGACATTGCCGACATCACTTCACGAGTCCTATCCAATGCCACTCAAAATAACGTCAACCTTTAAATGTATGTATTTTGACCCCTTTATAGTCATAATGAGGACCGATCAGTAAGTGTATGCATAATCGCTAAACTTTAATAGGCGTGGCGATGCCAGGGCTAGAGCTTTTGGATTTTATGTAATGTATCTCTACTGAAAAGAGTTTAGGGCCTAAGGGTTGGACATGCTAGGTCTCTCCAAATAAAAGACTGTGTATGTCCAAATTAAGCTCCAAAGGCACAAACGAACATAACCCAGTCCGGTTCGAGGTCGTAATGTGAAGTCGTCTTTACCGTTGGTAACATGAAACAGTACATAATGCCTATCTGGTGCCAAGTGAACCTCTGAATTCATTACAGAACACATAGAGTGACCAAGAGCTTGCTGTCATGCCAACATTTCAATTGGACCAGAACTACCCTAGACAAAAATCGTACTTCACGACCTGACGTCTTGCTGTTCCTATGTTGAGCGTGGAGCAGTGAAGTTTTTAAAGGAGAGATGAACGCGCAGGTCTGCACAAGGAGTCATCGAATGAGATAAATTCTATATTGAGAGATAACGGTAAGGAGTTCAACTTCAAGAGGATACTTGAGTGACAGCAAATAGTATTCAACAAAGCCATAAAGATAAAATGCGATAGCATCTACAATCATGGACGAATGATGAGTTGGACGAAAACAATGCGGATGCTGTGATTGTCGCTGTTGCGAAAGTATTGCGCATGAGTGGTCATGTGTAGAATATACCAATGAAACCGCCACGGTAACTGCTGGAAGGGGGCTGTAAACATCGTGATGACAAGAAGACGTGGCCACAATGATGAAACCACTATCGCGCAGCTGTATGAGCGGGATCGCACTGCAGGAGACGACGTGTGCATGCAGGCACACCAGCAAAAACTATCTGTGCTGCAGTCAATAATTTGTTGCTAATTTTGATGTGCTTTAGGCCAAAGATAACATTGCAAGGTCAGCCGTGCATGGGATGGTGCGGGATATTAATTAACTTGCAAGTCGAATTCCTACACTCTGCTATAATTATCATTATATTTATATCGCGCAGATCTTTTTTTACATAAAACTACAAGGCCATATATCCTTAAGATCTTCTATATTTATTTTCCTGTACTTCTTAATTTGATAATGATACCTATGATTTTGCCTCTTCTAGAAATTATATTTATCCGGTATATGCGAAAAATCTCCGACAAAATGCTCTTGGGTCACGTAACGCTATGTCACATGAGTTGCCGAATCCTACACTGACTTAATCGAGATTAGTAGCTTGTCTATCTTGTAATTCAAAAATGAGAAAAAAACATTATGACGAGCAGTGTCTTCATGACATGTGATGTAGACCCAGACTTCGCCAGTACACTGACTCGTCACCGACGTATTCCATAGTCTTGTAATTAGGGTCAGCGACATGGTACGATGCTCGTGCTGTCATGCAAGATCCAACAAGCTGTGCATGGCCACAAGAATTGGATCAATGACTACCGTAACAAGAATGCATACGCGCGAATCCGCAAAAACGAGCAAAGAAAGTAGCAGCCAGCTTTGGTGCATATTGCCATCGGCCAATGCTGACTTGCCAATACCACAATAATGCATTACGGTACAGCGCCGAGACTTTATTGGAGAACAAGCGAAGAATTGCATTGCTCTAAATAATCTTTACCGGGACATTCACTAAAGTTCTAGAAAAGCATCAGGTGGATCCTGAAGGCTGCTGTAATGTCGAATAGCAAAAAGCCTCATATCTCGACGCACATACATGTGAATGTTGACGCTAGCAAAACACAGTGTGTTTCTTATTGAGTTACGCTAGCCCGGCACATCGGCTCGGATTTGTCTTGATCAATGATCTAAACGATAAAACGTAACGTATGGGCGACGCGGATAAGTACTATGACCTTTGCTACTAAATAACACAAAATCTCCGACCTTCGATAAGAACCAATGGAGATAACTTCAGTTCAATAGAGTGTAAATACTATGCTTTTAGGGAGAACTGAAGATATGATTGGCCGAGTTAAGGCCGGTTTGCAGGAAGTCAGTAGACGGATTCTTAGGCTCTAAAATGTCCCATGTGAAAATAAAAAATTATCGTTTGTTCAATAAAGGCACCGTTTGAACGCTAATCATATCGAAGACAAGTCCACTTTCAAAATTAAACGAGGCGATGAGACGCTAATCCAAAACCATTTCTACAGTCGTTTTTACGCTTTTATACCTCTACCCGCGACTAGCTGGTAGTCCTGCATGAATCGTACGGAGAAGTCATTGACTTGATGATGTTCTTTGTAGGCGAAGGTGGAAAATAAGCAATGCTTCAGGCGGCTTGGCTTGTTGTCTGTACCGTTTGATGTGTTCATTTTGATGACAGCTTTCTGCAGCTTTCGTATAACTTGTGTATACTTTTATTCAGCGGGCTTTGATGCTGTGCTTGCCAAGAATCGGTGGTAACCGTATCTCGTCGGCATCACCAATATTTTACAACACAGCGTAACTATACTGCGTAGGCCTCTCGTCAATCAATAAGCCATTAGCGAGAAACATTCAACTTGATGATGTATCTCGTGTGCTCTCTGGAGTAATCAAAGAACCTCAGGTACGAGATTCATGGGCAAATAGGGAGATCCGGACTTCCATCAATTTTGCTTCAATACTCGTCCAGCGTTGTTTGGCTGGTAATTTATCTCTTTTATCCTCAAATTCAAATTTGTGTAGTGTTTTTGGCTGCGTCATATCGTAGACTTTAGCTTCCATCATCGAAACGCAAGAATATGTGTTCAATATATGTGGATTGGTAACTAAATAGTAGGTGCATCTTGACGTTGCTAGTACGAGATTGCTTAGTCGAATTACTTTGCATACTTGTGTTCGTGTTGCAGGCTCGACACGATGATAAATCTAGACAATCATTGATGGAGTGGCCATGCCAGATGACACACGATTTCAGATGTGCGACACTGCAACTGAAAAGCTTCCTTAATACTTCCGACAATAGATTTTAGGGGATCAAGTTAATTGATAAGCTTTCTAATCCATCCTGTTAACTTTGTACAGTGCACATGTGATTCCGTGAGATGCGTTGAAGTGTTATGTCACAAAAGATTGTTTCAATATTTGTGTAAATGAGAATTGAAGGCATCGACCGATAGGGGATAGAGGGCTGTGTCGGCGTGCCGCCCACTCAGGTCCCAAAAAACCTTGTAGTCTTCGTAAATTGCATTGAAAGCGTACGGAAAGTCTTGTTCGTCTTTATCATTTAGTAAGACCCTCTTTTGAAGTTCAACTGTGCACTTAATCTTTCTCCGTTTGTACGCTACGCCTCTCCAAGCCGAAACGAGTGAGATGTCAAGCAATCGGAAACAACTACTTTCTAACGACCCGATTAATAACACGATTGAGAATTCCTTTCACTCAAGGTTCAATGCTTGTTATATAATACTATTTACTGCGGCTGAGGTTTACATCGAGGGGACAAAACAACCCCTGTGTAACGGGACACCCTTTGTTTGGGGTGCCGCGAAACTATACGTACACTAGTACGTGCAGAGGAAGCTAATCTACTTAAATGACTCGATCAAGTAAGGTAAAAAGAGAACTGTATTTAATATAGTTAAGCTATCAATATAACATTAGTCTTTATCTAACTATATTGAATACGTCGTTGTATGACGACAACCTGCTCACCACTCATTGCGCGCGTCTAGCAGCGATTGGTGGTAAACTATGGATGGTATGTCTTTCATCATCAACCAATCTTGGATCAGCACATGAATATTGTCCAAAAAGGGATAATGTTCCTTCAGTATTATTCATCTCGGATAAAATTGGTAGGATATTGTCATGCTAGACAATATCCCTATCGACACCGTTTGGTGTCAATATCATGTAACGGGCTACCCCGTTACATCACCCCCCCTTTTAACCAACAAAAACCCGTTGATTGAATTAGAATTGATAGGGACAGGGTGACCACCGTTGGATCACTCTGGGAAAGGGAGCACTTATTGATCAAATTACATTCATCTGTCTATCCAACGCATGGTTTCCAAAAAAACCAAGCGAGTTGCTACTGCAGCAGCAAGAAAGGCGGCTGCACGCATGCTTGCAGCCGGAGAGAGTAATTATCACACCTCAGGAGCAGGCGATTCGTCGCCTGTTGTCGTGAATCCTCCACGTGGTGAGTCACCACGTGCAAAAGGTACATCCGCTGCGTCTGCAGCGGGTACCGCGAATCGTAATCCAGATGAGCCTGAAATGGAGCTCATCTATTCTGGCGTGTCGGATGATGCATCCGACTCGAAGGCGACACATCACGCCTCGGGATCACCCGGGGCGGACACTGCAAGAGCCAAGTTGACTGGCTATGGTCAACGCGGCGGCATCATGCTCGAAATCTTCGGATCGAGCGATTGTTTCGACGAATACTCGCCTCAAGCGAGCCCATCCAACGATAGGACGCGTGGGAATGGTGGTGATGCACCTATACATCACCACGAGCGAAGTAGCTCGAGGGATCGAGGTGTCACTGGTGTCAGCGCTCATGCTGGCACCAATTAAGAGGCCAGGGACCGAAATGTCCTGCGCCACGCTCCTCAAGTAGATTCTCCTTGGATGCCGTCATCCAAAGAGTTGGACCGGTTGGCCGGCATGACTATCGATCGGGATCGAATCCCGTTGTTCGATTTCCGGAAGATATTCCCGCCTGTATCCAGCACGGAAACTATCCGTGCTGAGGAAGAGTTATTCACCGATGCGTTCTTCAATTATCGGTGGTACAATGGTAGCCGTGTTCGAGACGGTAAGGCCTTGGGTGAAAGGAAGGAATTCCCATCCATATCATCGAGCGCATTAGCCGTGAGGCCTGGCTTGGTAAACTTGATGCAGCTCGCATCAGGTTTGAGAAACGCAACCCAGTCGGGGTGCGATACAAGTTGCACCTTCTATCAAGAGAGGCAGGATTACCTTGTCTCTCATGGGTTGATTCGTGTTCAGGTTGCCTAGACAATTCGAACCGTACCCCTAGGAAGGGCACATCTCCCTAGTGATCCCTAACAGGGGGAGCGCATCTCTTCTGAGATGGCTAAAGGGATTGACACTTTGCAATCCCTGTACTCGCGTTCGGGGAGGTCGTATTCAGACGGCCCTTCTTCAAACGCAGCGGGTGAGTCTCGTCGTACTGCTTGACGAGATTAAGAACATCAACAATCAGCTGGACACGAGGCTCCCAGCTGTCCCACGTCGGTGGATAGCCACGCCAGCGGACGAGGCAACTCGTCCGGACGCCATTCATGTCGCAGTGGTTCAAATTACGCTTGAATAGGAAGCGTTGATCACAGCTTGAGTCCACCAAAGGTTGTGGTGGAGGCGGGAACGCCTGATATGGTTCGAGGGTCGGATCAACTTGATGTTCAAGAGCTGAACCGTGTAACGGAACAGTCACACGCTGACTTGGCTCACGAACGGACTTGGCTTTACGTGCTGCATGACCTTGTAAAGGATAATTACAATTCCTTAGCGCACGATCGTTCGGGCGATCGTGCCGCTTTCGCGTTCGCGCAACTTGAGAACGAACGTTTGACTCGTTCTCTTCGTGATGATCTGGCTGCAGCTCGTCGAGACATCGCTTAACTGCGTGAACAGGTCGCTTTGCTAGTCGTTTAGACTGGCTCGTTGAAACGGGACCACTCGAAGGTGGTCTCGGCTCTCGACCGCGGAGGTGTTCTCCGCATCTCGAAACGGGCTCGTACTGATAGTACGGGCGGAGACGACCGACGTAAAACGTAGGATGCGTACGCATCTTACGGGGCAGTTCAATCGTGTAGGCGTTGCCCATTCGGCGCAACACACGAATTGTACCGATGTACCTGGGCAGTAATTTGCTGCTGCCCACTTTTGTCACTGCGTTTTTCGGTAAGTTTACTGTAGACAGTAAAACTAGGTCTCCTTCATCAAAAGAAAGAACATGTGCTCTTCCATGTTTGTCTGCGTTTCTCTTCTGTCTGTCTAGTGCATCTGCAATAGAGTCTCGAACGAAGCGGACAACCGCTTCGCGAATCAGCAGAAATTCCTCTGCTGATTCATCCTTGTCAACAGCAGTGCGCTTCGTGTGCATTGCTGAAAGAACGTCGTCTTCACCAGTGAGGGTGTCATCGTTCTCACTGTGGCAGTCATTGGCGATGCTGAATATACTAGCATCGTCGTAATCATCATCATCGATATCGAGCGCATCGACATCGGCATCCATCACGTCGACGCCATTGTCGTCGGGTGATGAGCAAGAACCAGATCGATTTTTGTTCGAGCGATTCTACCCCCCCTTAAACTAGAGTCACAATCTAAGAAGGCGGGTAAACGTGGATGGCGTAGGCCATTCACGAAGAACGGTGTATGCGTTGTCGACGCATGCGCCAAGTTTTTGATGGCGAATTCCGCCATCGTCAAGAACTCACTCCAACTCGTAAACGAGTGGACACACCCTCGTAGTATCTCTTTAAGGACGCAGTTGACGCGTTCCGTCTGACCATCTATTTCTGGATGGTGAGAACTCGACATCTTCAAACGTGTTCCAAGTGAACGAAACACCGGTTGCCAGAACGCCGCTGTGGAGAGGGGGTCCCTATCAGGCACGAGTTCACAAGGTAACCCGTGTAGTCGAAAGATAGTATCGATGAAGACACGCGCACATACCTGGGCTGTGATTGACATCGGTACAACAACAAGATGTACCATCTTGCTGAACCGATCGACAAACACGAGAATACTAGTTTTCTTGTAAACGTCTTTGGGAAACCCGAAGACGAAGTCCATCGATACGGACTGCCAACACTCTGCCGGAATCGGAAGAGGCTGTAAGGGTGCGCGGATGAAGGACCATGCTTCACCCATTGACAAACGTCGCAAGCGAGAATGTATTTGCGCACGACCTCATACTGGCGGGTCCAGTAGAATTCACGGCTTACCGTGAGGTAAGTCTTTTCTCTACCGCGATGCCCACTGGTTGGGGCATCGTGACACTCATACATGATGTGCAATCGCAAATCATTGTGAGCGGGAACGACGACACAAGGTGTGTCGCCGCTGACTGCTGTAGAGTACAGAAGTCCATCACGAACAGAATACCGTTCGGTTGAAGAGCGGTATTGATACAAAAAGCTTTTCAAAGCTTGACTGCATGGATTGGATACGTAATCCAACCATCGCAGATGAGAATCATCTTCTGCGTATGCCTTCCGCACGTCGTCGAGCAGATTTAACGACGGAACACTCACTGATAGTGTCGCTACAGTGGTATCACCCCTACTGTTTTGTAGAGCAGTCGGCTCGAAATCGGCCCGGCGCGAAAGAGCATCAGCGACGAATTTAAGTCGTCCTCGTTTATACTCGACGGAGAGATTGTACTCCGCGAAGAAAAACAGCCACCTCGCCATTCGTTGCGAGAGGTATGGACTGTTTATCGCCGTGCATAACGACGCATGGTCTGTATAAACGATGAAGAGCCTATCCCCTAAGAGACATACCCGAAACTTAGCCAGTGAATGTTTCATGTCAAAGGGTTCCTTGTCATGTACCGGATAATTTTGCCCAGCTACTTGCAAATGACGCGATTGATAAAGGCGACACGATCAACGCCGTCTGAGTCTTACTGCAATAACGCGCAGACGATTGCAATATCGCTGGCGTCACATACCACATAGAATGGTCTGTCCTGGTCTGCAATCGCCAACACAGGCGATTGCACCAAGCTTTAATTGATACCTTCGAAGGAGTGCTTACACTCAGCACTCCATGACCACCTCTCGTTTTCTTTAGAAGACGAGAGATATGTACGGTCATCTCGGCGTAGTTGCGCGTGTACTTGTGCAATTACGCCGCAAAGTTAAGGAACTTTCGAAGTCCCTTGACGTCAACTGGCACAGGACAGTCGCTAATCGCCTTGATCTTTTCCGGATCATGGCGTACACCGTTTTTACCCACGATGCAGCCAAGAAGTGGTATTACGTTCGCTGTGAATATACACTATATGAGGTTCGCGAACAACTTGTGCTTACACTAATGCGTGAGCACAAGTTGTTCGCGAACCTCATATAGTTCGCGAACAACTTGTGCTTACAGTAATGCGTGAGCACAAGTTGTTCCGGACGTGGATTCTATGAACCTCTACGTCCGTCTTTCCATCCATAGCCCGGCTATGGACGAAGACATCGTCGAAGTAACTCGGTTCAGAATTTTGCACCGAACAAATATTTAACACATCTGTTGAACGTTGCAGGGGCGTTACTTAGCCCCTGTGGCATCACTAGCCACTTCCAGAGCATACCACTGGGGGTGCTCACTGCTATGTACGGGATGTACTGTTCACGCATGAGGATCTGATAGAATCCATCCATCAGATCCGTGAACGAGAAGATGGTACTATTTGCCATACCATCTACGATGAATTCCTTCCTTGGTATCGACGTCTGAGCCGGCACCGTTGCAGTGTTCAATCTTTTGAACTCGTGCACTATCCGCCACCCTCCTGTGGCATTTCGCACACACGAGATCGGAGAGCTGTGTAAGGATGTTGATTTCCTCACACGACTAGCCGCTAAGCGATCATCTAAGAACTTGTCAATTGCTTTTAACTGTTCACAAGGCAGTTGACACTGCTTCATGACACAGTACTTCAAACCGGGTTTCAGTTTGGCTTCAAGTCGAGTGCCTTTGTCCTTAGGCGGCTCGCATGGAACGGATTCAGGGAAAACATTCCTGAATTCAACCAAATCCTTATACAAAGAATTTGTCTTCAAAGACTGTCAAGATTGAGACTTGTATTGCTCAATCCGAGTCTTTTAATCGAGGAAACTTTCATCCATCGATGAGCTAATGAGAACTTGTTCGTTCTCAGCAAACACTTGTGCCGACCGAATATCGGCGACGTACTCGTCGTCTGTGACGAGGACGCAGATCTGCTTGATATTTTCACTACGCAGATCTCGCAAAAATCTTTCAGGATTCTAGCGTTGGAAACTTGATTACCTCCGAAGCTGACTTCGGGGGCGGCACCAGATCGAGTGTATAAGCGCCTACACTTGATCCTTCATTCACCAAGACATTCACTGTCTCGGTGATTTCCTGGGAAAACACATCTGCACGTGGTTGGGTATCCACACCCACAACATAACTCTCTTGGGAGTTATCACTCTCAGGGATGCTGAAAATTTCTTCTAATACGTGTACTGGCTGTGGGTGTACTACCGCAGTCACGTCCTCTTTGATCGACTCTCTAAGAGTCGATAGGGCTTGCTCTACGATCGACTCTCTGATAGTCGACCTCGCTTCAACGTATTCTTCATCCTAAACAACACTAATCTCTCTTCTCGGATTCACCCTTCTCGGTGTGCATCCGTGTTCCAGTCCACTCGATCTCTTAGAACGGTGAACCTTTGGCGCAGCCTGTGTCTCTACACAGGTGCCGGAAGCTGGTTCCACAGTGCAGTGGCCTTCTACACTGTGATCTTGTGCAATCGTACTAACAACCGTACCACAAGTGAGGCCATCGCACTCACTCGTAGTACATCCACACTCTTGTGGACGCTCCAAGACGTTCATCAGATGGCCATCTCATGAACAAATGGCAGGCATCTTCACGGATCGATGCTGCCAGCTAACCCATGGCTGATACTTCCTAAGCCATGTCAGTCCAGGGATGACATCAAATTTTTCAACCAAATTTAATACGATAAAGTCATCATCGTACTGCTTTCCTTCTAGCGTGTAGTGGATTCCCGCTGCACGTTTGTTCACTGTTACGGATGCGCCTGTAGCAAGGCACACCGTCATCCTCGTTTGAGGGAACTCTCGCTTAACATAGTCGAGCCTACTATCCCTTAGCGACTGGCGTTGAATAAAACTGTTCGACGCCCAACGTCAACTAGGGTGCGTAATGACACACTACTTGTCACTTCGATCATCAAAGTGATGAGAGACACCTCATCACTAGGGGCATTAACACACAGTGACTGTGTGGTGGGTGCAATCTGCTTCAAAGTCCTGCAAATTTTCTTGACGTTGCTGGATCAGCAGAGTGCTCCGCACCTACTGAACCTGACCGTTTTTTGTGGTCCGACTTGCTGTCGCGGCTTAGCGACATGTCTGGACCCACGCCTTGGACCTTTCCTTGGCCAACGGTCGTCATCACGTCCTGTATTTGGACGCGTTGCGTTGATTGGGACACTACACTCATGAGCGTAGTATCCAATCTTCTGAAAGCGATGGCATCTTGCCGTTCGCTTGTGACTCAGATAGCGAGAGTTCTCGCTCTCGATGTAGCGGAGGTCCATTGGTTCGGGACCTCCTGTTTCCTGTCGTCTCGTTGGACGATAGTTTGACGAGTTATCGTGAGACTGTCTCATACTACAGTCTTCTTGTTCCGCATCCGCTATCGCCCTTTTCAGTGTATGGAAGTCCTCTCGGAACATGTAGGTTTTCACCGGCCCATCTACAAGGCCGTAGATGAACACGTTGATGAGCGTGTGCTCACCAACAGGGTTTTCCATGACGCTATTCGCAAGGTTGCGAAGGTGTTGTGCGTAAGCGTGCACGTCGCGCTTACCTTGCTTTAGCCTCAAGAGTGTAGAGCGTGCTCTGAACTCAGCTCGTGTCGGCTCAAACGTCTCTATGAGCCGAGCCTTCAAGATCTCTAATGAATCAACCACGTTTGGGTCGTGAATCTTGAGCCCTAAGGCCCAAGTCTTTGCTCGTCCTGTCAAGTTTGGCAGGGCGAAGGTGACTCGCATCTCGTCACGCTCAATATGACGGGATCTAATGGCGTCGTCTAACTTGACACACCATCCCAAAAGGGAATCTCATCGGTTCCCTTGTACCTTGAGATATCTATCTTCAAGGTTTCAGGTCGACACATGTGCGTCGGCCCGCCCACCGACTGATGAGAGCCTTTCTGCTGTAGCAAGGCTATCTTCTGTCGTTCGACGGCAAGTTCCCTTTGTAGGAACTTGTTGATAGCAGCATGTTGCTGGTCTCTGCTTAGAGACTCCAACATGCCACTGATGGCGGGTTCGCCCATGAGCACAATCATGCGGCCGACTACCCCCCCATTCTAAATCACTCAGGTGGGAGTAGCCTTCACGTGTGACGTGAAGCTGTCGTCTTCTACGTCCAACGTCTTCATGTTGGACGGACATTAAGTAGTCGTTGGACGCACTACGAGGTGCTACCAGGTGTAACGGGGCACCCTTTTGTTTG